TAGCTCAGTGCTAGAGGCCCTAGGCTTACTCCCCCAGCACCAAAACAACAATCAAAGAAACCTGGTGTGCTTCTAGAAGGTCCATTATCTGAAGCTAGATCTGTAGTGTGCACATGTGAGCGGGACATATGTGAAAGACCCTTTTCCTCCCCACAGCTGTTCCCTGCCAGTTCTTTGCTGATGAGGTCATGCACTTTATTCTAACCCATCATTGGGAGGATTGGGCATTCTCAGCGTGCCAGCAAGAAGCAGGCGTAATTGCATCCTGGTCACACAGCTAGCAGGTGGTACAGTTGGAATTTCAACTGAGTGCCTGAGTGCAGGGTTATGAAGAGACACCAGGGAGGGATGGGGGCAGCCTCAGCCCCAAGATCATCACAGCTGTGTCAAAAGAGAAAACCGGAAGTGGAGGGAGGAGGATCAGAGCAGGAGAGCCTTCTGTTTGTGTTTTCTTTCATCTCTCCCCTTCCCCCTTTAAAGCAGTGGTTCTAAACCTTCCTAATGTTGTGGTGACCCCCAACCGTGAAATTATTTTCCTTGCTACTTCATGACTGTAATTTTGCTGCTGTTATGAATCATAATGTAAATATTTTTGAAAATTTTGACCCACATATTGTGGTGACCCCCAACTATAAAATTATTTTCCTTGCTACTTCAAAACTGTAATTTTGCTACTGTTGTGACTCATAATGTAAGTATTTTTGAGAGAGAAATTTACCAAAGGTTTTGTGAGCCACAGGTTGACAACCACGGCTTTAGATCAACCTGTGGGGTTCTGAGATAATAACAGAGTTCAAGTGCCCCCTACATCTCCCATGAAGCTCTGTACATGAATGGCTTCATGTAGGTGCCAAATAAATAAGTGAATGAGCTTTCAAGGAAATGTGTAGGGAATGACTTGAATGTGCAGGAGCCGTTGAGTCAATGAGTGAACTAACTTCCACGATGACTGCTATGAAGACAACCCCTGACCCTTCCTGGGCACAGCCATGCCGGCACCAGCCCCTGTGTTTGCATTGAAAGTGACTGACAGCCAGGCATTGGTGGCACACGCCTTTAATCCCAGCACTCGGGAGGCAGAGGCAGGCGGATTTCTGTGAGTTCGAGACCAGCCTGGTCTACAAGAGCTAGTTCCAGGACAGCCTCCAAAGCCACAGAGAAACCCTGTCTCGAAAACACACACACACAGAGAGAGAGAGAGAGAGAGAGAGAGAGAGAGAGAGAGAGAGAGAGAGAGAGAGAGAGAGTGACTGACAGACACTGAGCATGGTGGCACACACCTTTAAATCACAGTACTCATTTGAAGTCACTGATGACCATTTCCCAAACTCTTGCAGCCTGAAACACTGACAGTGGATGACACTGAAGTCATTATGTCTCTACAGTTTTAACTGCAGTAGCATACTTTGCCCAAATGGAGCCTTCCTCCAGAAATCACCAACACTGATTGCAGGGGCCTCTAAAATAAACAGGACTCTGCAATAGCCAGAGCTCCAGTAATACCGATGTTGGACTTCTGTATTATCAACCCTAATAAGCTAAGAATGTCCACTGGACCAGCCTGAAGGTGGCTTTTCCGCTTTGAGCAAAACATCCTTTCCACATCTTAGGGTCTCCATGTGTCAAGTGAATATTACATCATAGCCAGCATCTGAGACAAATTAGGTGTTCGACAGATGTACAGTGAGTGAATGAATTGGGGGCCTAGAGATGATAAACAAATAATACTTTACACAGAAAAAAAGCACTCCGGGTTTCTAACATAAAAACAGCGGAAGACGGAAGCCTTTTACCTCCCTACTCGCTGCTACAGTGCTCAGGGAGGGGCCTTCACAGGGCTGGTGCCTCCTTCAGAGCATATGGCACACCAGGACCAAGATTTCAAGCCCAGAGGATGTGCAGCGTGTCTTAATCTGACGAACCTGCAGGTGGTGCCCGAGCTACCAGCAATCTTCCAAGAGAGGTGGAGCAAAGCTCGTTCACTTGACCCGGACCCAGCCAGGCGAGGAGGTGGGCGGGGACGTCCTCGGACTCCCTTGACGGTCAGCAGGATCTGTCATAAACCTCGAGCAGTTAAAAAAAAAAAAAAGTAAAGGAAGCAACCACACTCTTGGCAGTGTGGTGCATCGCACATGTTTTCATCAAACAGAAAGCTAACAGTTTACATCACTGAGATTAATTTTAAGACTCTGAGCACTGAGGACATATAGCTCAGCATTAGAGCACCAGTCCCCAGCATGAAATGTCTAAATGTGAAGGTTGCCTTTTGAATTACCCAGAGTGAGCTTCACACACCTGCTTTTCTTTTCTTTTCTTTTTTCTTTCTTTTTTTGTTTGTTTGTTTGTTTTTCGTGACAGGGTTTCTCTATATTGTTTTGGAGGCTGTCCTGGAACTCGCTCTGTAGACCAGGCTGGCCTCGAACTCACAGAGATCCGCCTGCCTCTGCCTCCCTGGTGCTGGGATTAAAGGCATGCGCCACCAACGCCTGGCTACACCTGCTTTTCTTAAGAAGACTGATACCCGCTTTGTGCCAGGCACTGTTCTGAACACTCTAGGAAACTCGTTTAATTTTCATGGCAACCTACTAAGAGCATTCTCATTCTACAGATCAGAAAATTAAGACTATAAAGTAGGCAATTCCCAGATCCAGCAAGAAAGACACCCTTGACCCAAGGGCTAAACAAACAACAGAGGGGTTTGCGTGTAAAATAAAATAAAATCCCCAGACATTGGTACTCCTCAGAATCTTTGGAAGGTGAAAGAATGGTTTTTAAAAGTTCAGATTTGAGGGACAGGAAAGTGTAAGTCAGTGGTTTTGTGTGTGTGTGTGTGTGTGTTTAATGTGTTGGGTTACTGGATTCAATCCCCAGCACCAATAAATTAAATTCTCTCTTAATTTAAATTAATTCAGATATAACCCCAACCTTCCACCATGTGTGTGGTTTTTGGTTTTTGTTTTTTTTTTTCCCGTGTGTTCGTTTTGTTTTTGTTTTTTGAGACAGGATTTCTCTATGTAGTCCTGGCTGTACTGGAATTCCCTCTGTAGACCAGGCTGGCCTCAGATTCACAATCCTCTTACCTCTGCCTCCCAAGTGTTGAGATGAAAGGTTTTCACCACCAGCGCCTGGCCCACCATGTGATTTTTTTATTTTTTGGATTTATTTATATTTTTTTATATTCTCTTCATGTATACCTGCACGCCAGAAGAGAGCACCAGATCCCATTATAGATGTTTTGTGAGCCACCATGTGGTTGCTAGGAATTGAACTCAGGACCTCTAGAAAAACAGCCAGTGCTCTTAATCACTGAGCCATCTCTCCAGCCCCCACCATGTAGTAGGGCCTAAAATTTTGTGTTTTGAGCTTAGTAATTCTGAAGAAGCAGTCAAATGGCTTTTGAATAGTGTGTCATGGTGTTGAAGGAATTTGGATAATTTACAATCAGTCTGCCACACACCCAGATTTCACACAAACTGAATTGGACACAGGTGGAAAATATTTAGATAAAAAATAATTGTTCCTCTATCCTGAGCATGCACAGATTTTTCATTTTCTATGCAGTGCAGTATAAGAGTTCATATAGTCTTTACATTGTACTAGATGTTATGTCTAGACATGATTAAGTATGCAGGAGGACATGCGTGGGTTATATTCATATGCAAGCATTATGATGGAATAGACTTGAATATCCATGGATAGAGGTTCTGTAACCAGGACGCTGAGAACTGTGCAGTAATACCCATGTGACTTCTACAGTCTCCTTCGTTGAGGGCAGTGGGGGTACAGTGTTGGGGAATGGTGAGAAATTAAGTGGACATCAGCAAGGAAATGGGACTGCATGTGACTCAGTGATAGAAGCGTTGCTGGGAAACAGGGAGTGGGTTTCAGTCACTGATATTTTTTTTCTTACTTTTAACTGTGTTCCATCTTTCAAAAAGAAAGACATGGTTTTAATATTACTTAATGATATGTTAAAAAAAAAAGCTAGGCAGGCCTCCGTGTTAATATGGTTGTACGCTCTAGAACAGACTTGGTGGTGTGAGTACTGGGTGGGTTTCTTGTTTTCAACGTTCTCATTCTGTAAGAGGTCTTACACACGCTGGCTACAAGTCAGGGGGTCATACACAAAGATCGCAGCGTGTACACTCAGAAACAATAGATTGTGAAAGAGGCCTGCAGTAAAATTAATTTGTAAAAACTAGATTCGGGATGAAGTTGAGAACCATCTCATGGGCAGGCAAGCCGTAAATCTCAGCTGCTACCAGGAGGAGAGAGATACAAGAATCCAAGAAAGGGTCCAAGAACGCAGGCAGGCTGGGTAGTGGAAGTCTGAAAGCAGCTTGTCGGTACCGGTAGGGACATGGGGAGATGAGGGGTGGCTGGGATGGTAATGCCCAAGGTGTCATGGCAAGCAAGGTCAGCTTTTTAGCTGGTTGCTAAGTATCCTCACTTTCCTCTGGTATTTTAAACCTTAAGGAGGGTGCTTCCCCTTTTTGAAACAAGAGGTGGGAGGCCGCCCTGGTCTGAAGGACAGTCCCTCCTCAGTGGCCTCCGAATCGGCTAATGCTGTCTGTCTACCCAGTAGAATAGGACCTGGCTGTTTGTTTTGTATTTGAAAGGTTTCATATAGTCTAGGCTAGCTTTGAACGTTTGATCCCCTAGGCTCTTCCTCTCCAGTACTGGAATGACAGGAATGAGACACTAGACCAGGCTAGAAAAGGTCCTCAAAAGCCTGGATTCGGTCCCCAGTACAAAACCGGAAACTGAACCCAGAGAAGCATCGAGGAGCTTCTGTTGCAGGCGCTACAAAGCAGTCTCATGTCTTAGGCCCTAAGACTTAAGGGTTCCAGTCTATGACTCGGCCTGCTCCACTACTGGGAGAGACCAGCGCGGAGACTCGACTCCAGCCGCAGGGGGCGCTGTTCGCCTCCCTGCAGAAGGAAGCGGAACCTCGCTTCCCTTCTCCGAGTAAGGCACTGGAAAACGTCATATCCGGTCCTGCGCGCACTGCACCGGAGCCGGAAGTGGTGGGTGAGTGGTGGTCGTTTCCCCAGGACCCCTTCTTGGATAGAGACCTGGCTCTTGCCTACCTTCTGCGGCGCTCTTTACAGGGGATTGCCGGGAAGTTGGTGACCTCGGTGACCTCAGCATAAGCCTCAAAAGCCACTTCAATGGCCACTCTCACGTGCTCCGGAAGACCCTGTTTTCCCGGCTATCCAAGGAACTGCGGCGGAAGTACAACGCCCCCTTCGTGCCCATCTGCCAGGACGACGAGGTCCAGGTACATCCAGGAGTAGCCTCGGGTTCTAGTTTCCCAAGGACATATGGTTCAGTCACCCCGTTTGCATGAAATCCCAGAGTAGTCACATACCCCAAGACCTCAGTAAGGAGACAGAGTTACGCAGACGAGCTAGATCAGAGCCACATCTGTGCTGTGCTGCCTCAGAGCATTGCCTCAATAACAGTGATAAAATAATATGCCAAGACTGCAAACATCCGCTTTCTCGATGTAGCCCACTGGCCTTTAGTTTGCTAAGTTTAGCTCATGATGGCACCTTGAACCAGTCTTTGAAGGAGAAGGTGCTACACTATCTCTTGAGTTTAGCAGAATTGGTGGACAGAGATCTGAGGGAGTCGACCATGCGAAGGATACTAAGATGCGACAGAAATGAGTTGGAAGCAGCAAGTCAGAGGTGCAAAATGTCAAAAGACCATATGTTCCCAGTGACTGGAGCATAAGGTGCGACAGGGCTGTGGAGGATGAAATGGGCAGAGATTAGATTGGTTGCTGGAAGGGGAACTGTGCACTTAGCAGGCATTCATTGTTCTGGACATTAGCTATGAGCAGAACTGAGGAAGCCTAGACTGCTTAGTGAGACTTGACCCCCCCCCCCAAAAAAGTTGCCTGCACTGTGCTCCGGATCACTTGTGGATGCCCTCCCTCGAGTCTCGTCCCTGTCCCTGCTGCCTCGTAAAATCTGCTTTGAGCTGAGATCACCTCTGGCTAAATCCAGTGGCCATATTTATTATAGGTGGCACTGCCGTAGTTGGTAGTTGAGTTCATGCTTGCAACTTCTCAGACTCCTTTTATGGTTAATTTTACCCCCTAGGACCCCTGTCTAATCCCGTAATTCATCAAGGCCTGGGTCTAGTCAGCATTCCTCCTTGTTTAGTAGTCTCTCCAAACTTTCAATGTATGTTTTGTGATAACAACTCCCCACTTTTTGAAATTAATTTGAGATAGGATATCACTGTCAGCCTAGGCTGTTTTGGGTTTATTTGTTAATTGTGGAGTTAGGGAGCAAACCTGGCCCTGAAGCTTACTAGGCAAACACTCTGCTACTGAGATACAAGCTCAGACCTCTAGAGCAATCTTGATCCTAACACTCCTCTCTGCTTCTAAAATCTGATTCTCCTCTCAGTTTCTATATGTCACTAAGTGACATATCTCACCAGATGGCATGAGTCTTTACATTTTCCTTAATGACAGCAGGGTCAGCTCCCTCTAATCCCAACACTCATTGTCATATTGTGATAAAAAGCCATTTGTATCAGTTTAGTCTCTTCTGGTGTCTCTTTTTCTGACCAGTGACTACATTTGTGTATTTACTTGTTAACTGCTTATTGCCCCTCACAGTTAAGGCCCATGAGCCAGAGAGTTTGTTGCCAAGTCTTTGTCTTAGCAGGGCTAAGACAAATAGGAAAAAATTATCAACTAGATGAATACGAAAGGTTCGGTAAAGGAGTTTTTAAAAGTATGAAGTGTGACTTTTGTTTTCTTTTAGATATGAAGAAACTGAAACTCGGGTTAAATAACGCAGAGCATGGAGTTGAGGATGACCGTGATTCCTGAGTGCGGGAACTACAGGCATGTACTACTGTGCTAGACCTGTGCAGTGCCAGGCATGTGTGTACTAAGCACACCCTCCGCCACTGACTCCACTCCCAGCCACAGGTTAGTTTTGTGTTTGCAGTGCTAGGGTTTGAACCCTTGTACATATTAGACAAGTGCTCTTGCATCCCCAGGCCCATAATAGAGTTTTAAAATTGTGGACTTGAAATGGTTGCATAGTAGTCTTTTGGAAATGTCTTTCCTTCCTTCCTTCCTTCCTTCCTTCCTTCCTTCCTTCCTTCCTTCCTTCCTTTTTTCCTTCCTTCCTTTCATTCTTTCTCCTTTTCTTCCTTTCTTTCTCTTTTTTTTCAAGACAAAGTTTCCTCTGTGTGGCCCTGGCTGTCCTGGAACTCTCTCTATATAGATCAGGTTGGCCTCATACTCAGAAATCCTCCTGCCTCTGCCTCCCAAGTGCTGGGATTAAAGGCATGCACCACCACTGCCCAGCTATACAATTTCCCTAACACCATTTAGTTAGATTTTAGCTTGGTGATAGAACTTTCCTAATGTGCAAAAACCCTGGCCTCTGTCTTGATATTTAGAGAATGATTATATTCTCCTAATTTTAAAAGCATTTATTATCTCCATGTTATGTGTATGGATACATGTGTGCCACAGTGCACGTATGAAGGTCAGAGGACCACTTGTGGGAGTTCTGTCTACTGTGTAGGTCCTACTTGTCTTCAGTCTAGTAACAATGATCTTTACTTGGTGAGCCATCTTTCCTGCCCTATATTTTTTAATCTCAAGACTTCTTCTGTAATGATTATCCCTGGCTGAGAAAGACTTTTCTTCTTCCTTAAGTAAACAGTAGAGGTGAGCAATCTCCACACAACCAATCATAAGACAAGTATGTAGCACAAAAAACCATCTCTGACTGCCAAATCTGTTTTTGTTCAGGAGTTTGTATGTTTAGCCATGTGTTCCTGACAGCTTCCTCCATGTGCTGTGCTGTCCTAGGCCGGTTGAGGTCATGACAAATGTCAGCAGGTCAGCAAGGCAGTCTTGATGTACAGAAGTCAGTATGTCAGCTACATCAAGCAGGTACAGCATGAGAAGGCATGTCAGGACTGTCTGTATAGAGGGAATGGTTAAGGCCTAGAGATAGGCCAATCAGGCTTAGTGGCATCAATAAGAGTGTAGAGCATTGGATAGCAACCTGTGGGTCACAACGCTCACGGGTTGCCTGTCAGATGTCCTGGATATCAGACATTTACATTATGATTCATAACAGTACCAAGTGGTATGAAGTAGCAATGAAATAATTTTATGGCTGGGGGCCACCACAACATGAGGGACTGTATTAAAGGGTCCCCACATCGGGAAACTTGAGAACCACTAGTCTAAAGGCTCTTCTGTGTTGCCATTCTTGATGATGGCTGTCACCCCAAGTGGGCGACAAGAGCTCTGGGGCATTCTAAGCATCATTTGTCCATTAGAAAAAGTCCTGAGAGAAAAGGGCAAAGCTCTCTTCCTGGGCATCCCTACCCAGGAAAGATGTGTTGTTCACCTCTGAACTCTCACTTCACACTGCTGGAGTTCTCTTCCTTAGTTTCAGATCTGTAAACGGAGTGGCTAGGGTCTTGTCTTCATAGTTCCTGCATTATTACCCAGTAGCTAGTGAGAATCTAGATTTTTTTTTAATTCAGCTGTACATTGCTCTCCACTCCTCCTCCCTCCTCCCCTCTCCCCTTTGACCTCTCCCCTGCCCCCCTGCTCCCAATTTACTCAGATCTTGTCTTCTTCCTTTTCCTAGGTGGATCCATGTATGTCTCTCTTAGGGTCCTCTTTGTTACCTAGGGTTGTGGCCTGTACATTGGTTGTCCTTTGTTTTTTGACTGCCAAGTAGTACACTGTGTAAATGTACCACATTTTCCTTATCCACTCTTCAGTTGAGGGGCATCTAGGTTGTTTCCAGGCTCTAGCTGTAATGAATAATGCTGCTATGAACATAGTGGAGCAAATGTCCCAGGTTTTTTCTAAGCAGTGTACCTTGCAAGCCAGGGATATAAGCAAAATTTCCATCCATAATCAACACATCCCGGAACTGTGTGAATGTTCTCATGGGAGCTGGCAGTGGTGGCGCACGCCTTTAATCCCAGCATTCGGGAGGCAGAGGCAGGCGGATCTCTGTGAGTTCAAGGCCAGCCTGGTCTACAGAGCGAGTTCCAGGACAGGCTCCAAAAGCTACGGAGAAACCCTGTCTTCAAAAACAAAAACAAAACAAATAAACAAACAAATGGTCTCATGGGAATCTCAGGGAATCTGAGGTCTTGAGCATGGCTGGCCAGGGGTACCTGAGGGAGGCTCCACTGTTAGGGGTTACAAATGGAGATTATAAATTCCTTCCACTTAAAACTCTGTCTCCTAACAGGTAGTTATCACCAGGCTGGAACCAGACTAAGACAGGAAAAGAATTCTTCAACGCAAAGCCAAGTCTCATGAAGTTGGAGAGAGAAAGGTCACTGTAGGGATCTCATGCATGGAGGATGCAGGAGTGAAATGAGCTGTCATGAAACCAGGGCTAACTGCACTGCAGAGGCCTTGTCTTCAAAGTGTGTCTGATGTGTTTCATTGTCCACCTGTTTTGCTACTGACTTGTCATTCTGTAGTTGATAGTTTATGAATAAAAATTGGAACCATTTCCTAATGTCAAGTGGCATTAAATGAAAGCTTTCTCATCCACCTGTCTGTCGGTCTCTCAGATGTTTATATGTGGACCAGCACAGTAGCACTGATAGACCTTGTTCTTTGCGCCTGAGGAGGGGGAAGGGCAGGGCTCTGGTTTCTGAGGACATGGGGTTGACTGATTGGTACCACAATACTGACTGGCACCCTCAGAGCCCACTGGGCTCCCGCTGCTGTTCCCTGCACGCCAAGCTTGATGGTCCTCAGACTTCCTGACTGCTGTTCCCAGATCCCTTCTTTTTTTTCCCCTTGGTTTTTGAGATAGGGTTTCTCTGTCTAGTCCTATCTTGGAACTCTCAGATCTGCCTGCCTCCATCTCCTGAGAGCTGGGACTAAAGGTGTGCTGTAGTGGCATCTTGCCTGGTCAGTGAACTTGTAGTAGTGGCCACACCCTTTGGTGTGGTTTCAGGTGCAGACATGACCCTTTTAAGGTAGAGGAGCTGCAGGCTGGTGCTCTCTTGGGTCCCAGAGAGTATCAGAAGGGCAGAGACTGCATCTTTGGAGCAGGAAGGCCACAAAATAGGTGTTTTATTAAGGAAGAACTTACACCGATGAGAGTGAATAACCACCACAGCCTTCCAAAGGGTGTGGCCACTACTACAAGTTCACGGACCAGGCAAGATGCCACTAGAATGTGCACCACCACTGTCTGGCTCCCAGGTCCCTTCTTAACCTGATGAACCAGGCAGGTCTCTTGCAGCAGCCTGCCCAGGCTCCCTTTCCCAGCTCTAGACTTTGTAAATATGCTTTCTAATTGAAGTGTTCTTCCACTGGAGCTAACTCAGGAACTTGCAACCTGTGCTAAGATTTGACTCTAAGTTTGTCTTTTTAGTTTTACCCAATTGCAGCATTTTTCATGTGAGATTCCCATGAATGCCTGTCAGACCCGGTTGCAGGGCATCCTCACTTCCCTTCTGTACAGGCCTGAGGCTGAGGCTTGAACTGCCTCCTGCCTTTACCTGTGTGGCTCCCGCTGTGAGGCTTGAACTGCCTCCTGCCTTTACTTGTGTGGCTCCCGCTAGCACGTGGGTTTTAGACTCCATTAAACTTCAAGATTGAGCTTCTGGCTGAAGTACTCCCGCCCCTGGGAAGTCATCCTTTGGCTAGAATGTATTAAATGGCCCTTTTTTCTTTGCATGCTGGAATGGAGCTTGGGGCCTTGCACATGTCAGAAACATGCTGTACCATCCAACTCTGCTCCCTGCTCTTTCTCCCTGTATAAAAAACCATAACAAAAGCAAGAGCTGCTCTTTCTTGATTTAATATTTCATTAATTAATGTAATTTTTAGGTAAGACCTCACTATGTAACTCTAGCTGGCTGACCTTGACGTCATGTTCCTCTCAGAATGTCAGAATCATGGGCAAGCAGTGCCCATCTTTAGCTGTGAAAATTAAAGTAGCAGGTCACCAGCCCTGCATGACTGTAAGAGTCACATGATTGTTTCTGTTAGTTTCCACCCTCTCACTCGCACCCCTGAGTGGGGTGTGTGTGTGTGTATGTGTGTCTCACATGAACTTTGGTAATTCTTAAATCTACACAAACCTGGTTTGTGTCTAGAATATATATCCAGCGTACAGCAAAGGTGTGACTTGATGAGTGAAGTCAGTTGCTTTTGAGTATTTTGAGATTTGTGTTAGTATAGGTGTTTTGCCTGCATATCTGTGCACTATGTATATGCAGTGCCTGAGAAGGCCAGAAGGGGGCATCACAAAACTCAAAAAGGTTGTGAGCCGCTGTGTGGGTGCTGAGAATCAAACTGGAGGCCTCTAGAACAGCAGACAGTGCTCTTAACTGCTGAGCCATTTCTCAGTTGGTTATTTTCTATTGAATTTTGTCTTCATTCTCAATCAGCTGAAATTTAGGAGTCCAAAAGTTGGGTAAAAGTTAGATGTCCTACTAGACTAAGTTTACAGCTGTACAAGAGTTCTCTAGAGGAACAGAACCTGTCCAATGGATATATACAAAAAGGGCATTTATTAGATCGCTTACATAGCATTGCCTGCACCATCCAACAGCAGCTGTCTTCACACTGGAGAAACAGAGGACCCAGTAGATGCTCAGTTCACAAGATTTTCCCTTGGATCTCATTTCTGAACTGTCACCCAAGGGTTCCACCCTCTTTTATGCTGGGTCTTCCCTCTTCAAATGGCTGATCAAAATAATCCCTCCCTGGTGTGTCCAGTTGTCTTTCAGTTAATTCCAGATTCAGTCAGGGTGATGACCAATATGAGGCATCACACAGCCTGCAAGCTTAGGAAGCAATGGTGCTCGCAGCTATGGCTGCTGAGGGTATGGTGGCTGGAGTGTAACACAAAGCTTGTTCCTCTGTCAGATTCCCACACAAGCACACGGAACCCAGTCTGTGCCATATTCCCCACCCTAATCTGGCTAGATGTGGTTTCTGACTGGGAGACACACTGAAGCCAGAATGGGGTCCTCCTCCTCAATGGGCATGTTCCTGCAGCTGACCCCAGTTGGGTCTCAGAAGGCCAGTAGGCACTATGGCTTTGTCTTAGTGTCTATTGCTGTAAAGAGTCACAGCAATTCTTATAAAAGAAGCATTTGATTGGGGCTTGCTTACAGTATCAGAAGGTTAGTCCATTACCACCATGGAGGGAAGCATGGCAGAAATCCTTACAAGCTGGGTGGTGGTGTTAGCAGTGTCAGCACATGCCTTTAATCCCAGCACTTGAGTTAGAGGTCAGCCTAGTCTACAGAGCTAGTTCCAGGACATCCAAGGCTACACAGAGAAACCCTACTTGAAAAAAAAAACTAAACAACAACAAAAATAGAGCTGTTTGTAATCCCAGCATTCAGGAGCTGCAGACAGGAAAATCATAAATTGGGGAGCACCCTGGGCTACATAGCCAGTTCTATGGCAGCCTAGCCTACATAATCAAACCCAGTCTTTCTCTGTCTCTCTGTCTCTCTCCCCCCCTCTCTCTCTCACACATACACACACACACACACACCTTGAAGATATGCTAACTGAAATAAACCCACTGTGGACAAACAACAGCTACAGTTTCTCTTATAGAGGGTTCCAAAGATGCTGACACAGAAAGTAGAACAGAGGTTGCCCAGGGTTGGTGGGAGGCTGTTGTTTAACAGATAGGAGAAACATCTGTAGAGCATAGTGGCACTTGCCTATAATCCTACTGAGATGCCATGACAGGGGAATCACGGAGTTGGTCTATCCTGGGTTCTAGGGTGAGTCCTAGAGATTGTTTGAGCAACAAGGTAAACAATTGCTTCAAAACAGTCTTAGGACAAACTGTATGCTACATGTATCACAGCAGATTTTAAGGAAACAAGGTGTGGTTTGTGAGGGAGGCAGGAAAGAGCTGCTGTCTCTGCTTTAGTTCTGGCGACCTCACCCTGTCTTGCCTATTCAGTTCAGCTGCACAGTGGTTCAGTGGGTACAGTCTATGTCTAGTACCCACAAGGGTTAAGTGAACACATTCTGTGTCTGATATACTTCCAGAAACAACAAGCAGCTGAACAGTGCCTGCTCTCCCGAAGCAACAAGTAGGAATATGCAACCTTAAGACATGGCAATGTGACGTTGTCATCTGCAAAGTTCACACCTGAGACTCACACAATCTGTAGTACCCCCTGTAAGCATTTCTACGGATCGGATGGGATGGACAGGGATGGATTCTGGCACTCGGGAATCAAAGAATACTGAGTGTTACAGCTTGGATGAAAGGTATTCTGGCACTCAGGAACCAAGGAATACTACAGGTGACAGTATGCATAGCAGCTTACAGCCCTGCTTCAGGGAGAAACTTCCCCAGTGTATCAGCTCTGATCCAGCAGGAGAGGATTCCCCAAGGAAGTTGTTACAGTTTGGCTCCAGTCCCCCAGGGAGCAGAGTGTAACAACTTCCCTTAGTCATGGGTTCAAAGTGTTACAGCCCTGCTCCCCTCTGCTCCAGTGAAAGAAGGTCTCACCCAAACCTCCTTCAAGAGATTTATTGGGAGAGAAGAATCTAGGAGAGTAGCTGTCCTCTTCTCCGAGTGACAGAGGACAGCCAGGCAGCATGAACAGCCACAAGCTGAACAGACACAGGGTTTATATAGGGAATCTTAGGGGCTAGAGTTTTCCAGGGTTGGGATTGGCCATATTTCAATCCCTGAGCTTAGGATGGCTAGATCTGCTCCGGGATTGGTTAGTTGTCTGCACAGGTTTAGGGTCAAATTTAGCTCTGGTTTCATGGCCAAAGTGTGTTTCTTTCACTGGTCCTTTTTAGCCTTTTGGTTTTAGTTTTAGAGCCAGGGTGTATTTCTTTCACTGACTCTGATTCCAGGGACAAAGTGTGTTTCTTTGGCTGGCCCCTTTTCCTTATACCCCCCCAAAAAAATCTCATAATGTTTTAGATAAGCTTAAGATTCTGTGTTGGACACTCTGAAGGGTTTGAACAAGGTCATACACAGACACAGATGTGCTAACAGTAGCGCCTTGGGGGTGCTTTGCCTGGGACTCAAAAACAAACATCATAATTTCTGCTGAGCTAAGTTATGCAGGAAAGCAGTATCAGCACAAAATGTACCAAATGATTCAAAATAAATGCCTCCTCCTTAAACAAAGCAGCAAAATACCTGGTGTGAAATTTTCAAAGAAAAAATTGTTTTGTTTCTAAGAAGGCCAACTAGTTTTAATTCTGAAGAGTGCTAGACAGGTAAAGTCTTGAAATCATTTGAAGAGTTGGTACAGCTGTTGAAGGTTCCAGATGATTCAAAAATCCATTCTACTTAATGAAGGAAGGAGGGATGTGACTATTGTTAGGAACCTGGTCTACAGCTTAGCACACTAGAGTCAGCTTTGAGATCTCCTTTCCACCTTGTTCAGTCTGTGAGCTTCTTCAAAATCAACCTCAGCTCGACATGGAGGTTCACCTGTAATCTCAGCACCTGGGAGTCAGAGGCAGGAGGATCTCGAGGTGGAGGCCAGC